GAGGAGCGCGGGCTCCGCGTGGTCCAGCGCCGCGGCGAGGAGCCCCGCGAGCCGCAGGAGCGCCGCCGTCGGCGCGACGCCGCGCGCCGCGCACGCCGCGAGGAGCCCGGCGCGCGCGCCGCCGGCCGGCGGGCCGTGGTCGACGGCCCCCGCGTCGACGCCGAGCGCCGCGGCGAGCTCGCGCCGCACGGCGGCGACGTCCGCGTCGCAGCGGAGCCGCTGCGCGACGATCGCGTCGCCGATCGCGAGCGCGCGGTCGCGGTCGCCGTCGCCGCCGACGCGCGCGGCCCACTTGAGCACGTCGCGCGACGAGCACAGGCTCTGGCTCCCCTCGAAGAGGGACCCGCCGTCGCGGCCCCGGCCGAGGCGGAGCCGCCGGAGCCGCCCGTGGGCGTCGACGAGGCGCGCCGCGAGGCTCGGCGCGACGCCGCCGACGCGCGCGACGACGTCCGCGAGCTCGCCGCTCGAGAGCTCGTCGACGTGGATCTCGACGAAGCGGTCGCGGAACGCGCGCGACAGGGGCTTGCGCCCGCCGTAGGTCGCGCCCGACGCGGCGCAGACGCCCGCGGGGTTCTGCGTCGCGAAGAGCGCGAAGCCCGGCGCGGGCCTCACGACCTCGCCCGTCTCGGGGATCCGGAGCTCGCGGTTGTCGTCGAGGAGCCGGTTCAGCGCCTCGAGCACGTCCGGCGGCGCGAGGTTCAGCTCGTCGAGGAGGAGCCACTCGCCGCGGCGCAGCGCCGCCGTCAGCGCGCCGTCGCGCCAGCCGATGGACCCGTCGGGCTCGGGCGCGAAGCGGCCGACGTACTCCGCGACGTCCGTGTGCTCGTGGTTGTTGACGCGCGCGCAGACGACGCCGAGGCGCGCGGCGACGTACTCGACGAGCGTCGTCTTCCCCGCGCAGGTCGGCCCCTGGAGGAGCACGGGCGACCGGCCCACGGCGACGGCGCGCGCGACGCGGCGGAGGCTCGCGCGGCTCGTCGCCGTGAGCACGTACGCGCGGCCCGCGCCCGGCCGCGCCCAGTCGCTGCGCCGGTCCCGGGGCCCCGCGGGGAGCCAGAAGGGCGCGACGAGCGCGAAGGCGTCGTCGCCGCCGGGCCGCCGCGGCGCCGCGCGCGCGTCGTCGTCGCCCGGCGCGCGCCGCGCCGCGCCGAGCGCGTCCGCGACGGCGTCCGCCGCGGCGCGGCGGCCGCCGCCGGGCCCGTCGCCGACGAGCTGCGTCGCGTAGGCGAGCTCGAAGCCCTCGCGGAGCGCCGCGGCCGCGCCGCCCTTGCGGCAGTGGCCCGCGAGCGCGGCCGCGGCGTCGAGCGCGCGGCAGAGCGTGCGCAGCGAGTAGCGCGGCCGCAGCCCCGCGCCGTCCTGGAGCGCGGGGCCGCCGCCGCCGCCCGCCGCGAGGGCCCCGAGGGTCCGGTGGAGCGCGACGCACGCGCGCGCGGCGTCGCGCGCCGCGCCGGGCGGCGCGGCCGCGACGG